AAAAATTTTCTTGCGATATTTTGGTACTATTGATGTATTTTCTAACCTAACTTATTAACAGAACCTAACCCTAATCTAACAGCGAAATTTTTAAATGATCTTCGTTATCTCCATTTCCGGAAAATTTGGACTACTGCTGCTGTTATCATTTGATTAAATATTTTTTTTATACGTTTTACAATATTTTTTTTCGGAAGCTCGGGTACTTTAACTCTTGGTAAAGGGGCTTATCGTTCTAAGTAAACTTGATGCTTTCGCCCTGCCCTACAACATATTCACTGAATCCACAAACTTTCATAGTACTAAGTTGTTACGTTGCAAATTTTGTTCGTTGTATAAAAAACATGTGAAAATATTTAAACGACGTTTTAGCAAGGTAATGTGGGCGAAAGACAATAGTTTATATAATTTTATTGTACTCATTATACAGAAATCATCAAAAAAAAAAAAAAATAGATAAAAATCATGCAAATTATAGTACGTATAGCAAATTAATTTAAATTTTTATATTTTTTTACTATAAAAGCTCAGGCGTGAGGAAAAACTTATAATATACTTGCGTGTTTACCAAAGTCTAAAAAGTTAAAGAATAGTGTTGTGAGTGGTGTGTAATAAGAGACATCCAAATTTTAGATTGAGTAGTTGAGAATATAAGATACAGTATATGAGATTCGGTATAAAAGATCATAATAATTTTGTTAATATGATAATAGTTTCGTTAAAAATAATTTAAATTAATAAAGGCATGATTGGCTTACTTTGCAAGAGCATCTAGTGGCATTTATCTTGAACTCAAATAAGTTTCGCTTCGATTTCATTAGTTGATCTACATGTGACACATTTTCCAAATTTGAGATGGTCCTATCTTGAGTTATAGCCGTAACAGTTGCTAGTAGGTCAGAACGGCTAAATCATAAATGATGCGCACATGTATACATGATATCAGGCCAATCAGCATTTAAAAACATAAAAAAAAACAATCAACAGATTGAACAGATCATTCCGACAAGCGGAAGATTAGGGTTAGGTTCTGTTAATAAGTTAGGTTAGAAAATACATCAATAGTACCAAAATATCGCAAGAAAATTTTT